GGTGGTGGGGACGGAGCCAGGAGCAACCTCATCCTTGACTAACTCGTCATTGCCAGCCGTCTCCGCCTGCATTCGCTGGAACTCGGCATCAACCCATTGCTCATAGGGTCCAGGCCCCGGCTTGCCCTCCTCCTCAGCCAGAATGGCAAGATCTGCGTATTTGTAGGCGAGCTCCCAGACGTTGTAGTCTGTACCCGGGTGGATAATGGAGAACGCCCTCTTCATCCGGTTCTCGCAGTCCTGCTCATTCTCCTCAATGAGTCGGCTCTGTTCAGCTTCGAGGGTGGCCTGGAAGTTGCCCTGTGCAGCAGCCGCCTCCTTGACCAGGCGGTCATTCTCTTGTTGCAGTCGTTTGCTGCTCTTCTCCGCCTGGTCAAGCCACTTGAAGGGCTCCTCATGCTTCTTGAGCTCATCCTCAGCATTGTCTAGGGCCGCCTGGAGATTGTCCACTTTGAGCTTGGACTCTTTGAGGGCTTTTGGAGGGTCTTGACCTGATCCGCCTGTCGCATGATTATAGATTTAGTTTCTAAGTCATGCACAATCATTGAATAGTGGGCAACGCTATGTGCGTCATCCGCAGAACGTTTGGCTCTTCTTACCTCCTCTTGTTTGCGGATGTAGGCCTTCTTGAGCCCCTCCACGCGGAGCAGTGCCTACAACAACACAACCGGTATTAGTAGGAAAGCCGGATGAGCATACTACAAATAAAATGCCGGGTGGGTACTCATCAACTTACATCGGCCAGGTCGACCATTACACGGTCGACATTGAAGGTATTGATTCCAGGAATCGCCTCCTTCTCGTCCCGGGGGACGGCTTTCAGCATGGCCCGGGCGTACTGAGTAGCATCCGACCAGCGTGGAGAATTATCTGCACCAGAAACAGACGGTGAGAAAGCTGCATATGCTCCGCCTATAGACAGTCGGCTGATCGGAGAATCTCCCGGCTGAGTCTGAGAATATGACTTAACCCGCATGGGTAGGTAAAGCAGCGTGAGGTTGAAGGGGTTTGTACCTTGTTGGGAAGCCCTTTGGCCCCCGGCAGAAGAGGGACCGGTTGTGGTCCTTATTGGGGTGACCTCTTTTGAGGTCGTTTCAGCGTTAGACCCGCCTGGGGTCTTTATTGATTTACCGCCGGTAGTAGCCCGGGCGGTGGAAGTGGTTTTCTGCATCTTATGTGCAGGCTCCTCAACAGACGGCCACTGCCGGATCTGTTTTTGCAGAGAACGAGGGATAACGCCCCATCCTGAAACAAAGTCACAAGCGGTCAGGTAAAGAATTGGCCAAAATAGCACCAAGACAAACAAATATAAAGGGTCAGGCGGGCTAACCTTTTTAGCCGCCTGAGCGGAAAGCTTCTTCTCCAGATTCTCCTTTCGGATATCTGAAGCTTTCTTGGCGGGTGTCTTGGCGGTGGGTAACATGTTTTTTGCTTCTTCTGCAAAACGCAAATACATCCGGTCAGGACAATAATAATATCGCACATTGCTATCAAAAGAAAAGGGTTAGCCGGCATAAAATTATCCGGCTAGGGTTCGTAACCTACATCTTTCAAACATGCTGCTTAGCCCGTAGGCGGACAAGAAGCACTCGTCCTTAAAGAATTCGTGTTTGGGCCCCCAGTTTTTGGGCACCCTTATTATCTCTCCGGTTGAGAGAGTGGCAGAGGTTAGTTCAAAAAATCCGGAGTCCAATATGGCCTCCCTGTCATTATCCGGCACTGGGGGCAACTGGCAGTTCTACCCCAAAAGCTCTGGTTTCCGGTTGTAGGTCCGGAACTCCCTATTCTCCTCTTCAGTAGGAGCTTTGACCAGGTGAAACCGGTTCTTCTAATCCGACCATTTAGACGGCTTATCCAGCGTCATCATATATTGAGGATAAGTCGTTAAGGTGTACCAGGCCCTCCAGCCGCTTGGGCTACTACTTAAATAATGCATTTGGGCAAACGCCTCCCAGCCGGGGTTAAGATCCTGCATCTCGCAGGCGGCGATGTACCCTAAAATGTTCACCCAAGAATTAGGGGTGAGTTGCCAAACGCCTAGGCCATATCCCCTAAGTATGGCCTTTATCGTGTTGTGAAGGGGAAAGCGGACCCCGGCTAGGAAAGCCGCTTCATAGCACCCAAACCAGTTGTTTGCGTTGGGTTGGTCATCTTCCCATACAACCGTCTCGTACTCTCCCAGTACTGATAGCTTGTAACCTTCTCCAAGCGGCCGCTTGGTGATGAAGTCTGTTAGGGAAGACCGTATGAGGGTCCTGTCTTTAAGAGATACGGCAATCATGAGAGGGTCGTGTTTACTTTGCCAAGTAGGCCTCTCCGCCTCCTCGCTATCTTCTGACTTGGTCAAGTAGCTAGAGCTGCTACTTCTGATGCTACCGGCATCTGTGCCGGATGGGGAGTTGGGATCCTCGTTGACGGATCCTGGCAGCTCAGCCTCCTGAGCAGGGGAAGACTCCTCGTTGTAGGAGCCTAAGATGTTATCACTTGGGGTGGCGGGAATGCCATCAGATGGTTCTCTAGCCGCCTCGTCCGGGGCTTGTCTCTCAGGCGACAACTCATTTGAGTCCCCGCCTCTGTAATTGGGGTCCATAGTTGTTCCCCTAATTCTGGCCATCGTGTCCTGCACAGACACGGAGTCGGTCAATACAGGCGTTGAAAAGGGGAAATTCCAAAGATCAGAGGCGGCAGATCCAGTTCTAGACTCAGCCGTGCTAATTGACCGGCTGAGTTCACAATTATGTTCCGGGTATGGGTATAAAGGGTCCATCTACCTATGGGACTAATAAACAAAAACACAAGAAAAAGACGCAAACGGAAATACATGGAAAAGCGAGAAGGAATAGAGACGGTACCCAGAGTAACGAAGAATTTGCTGAAACCTCAAGAAATTTCTTGGGGATGCTTGCAAAGACATAGACGGTTTGAAGACCGGCTGGGTTCTCTTAGGTACCCTCACAAAAATCCTTTGCTTGCTCGCTACCTTACAGGCGGTCTGGAAACCGGCTGCTATCAATTATCAGATTTCCGTCTGCTCTCTACTCTCAAATACCGGATGCTCTCAAAATTCAAGAAAATTCACGAAGTTTGTAAATGAGCTCTCGTGGGCGTCTACTCCAATTTATGGGGGTTGCCTCAGAAGGCGAAGGGTCGCGACCTTTCCCCTTCTGCTTTTCCCTCTTCTTTCAGTTAGAATCTAAGAGGTTAAAAAAAAAAGAGAGGGGGGGTCAGCGTTCTTCTCAGGCTCCACGTGGCACCCTGCCACGTCAGCACCTGAGAGGGGCAAATGTTTGGGGTAAAAAATACCCCAGCCACGTGGCCCTATGGCTAAGAGACACGTGGCACCCAAATAATTGATCAGCAGGGCTCTAGTCCCCTGCTGACACGTGTCCCATGAACCCTAAATGGGGAGCTAAGGCTCCCCACTATAAATAGTGGGGGGATCCTCATTAATGGGTATTCATTCAATTCCATTGAATTCAATACAAGGTATTCAATACACTCTTACACCAAAATCAAGTAATATTAATTGCAGAATTCTCCCATTACGTGAAAAGTAAATTCATTATTTTACGCACTATCTACTTCCTGTACCTAACTGACTTGATCGTCGGAGGCGGAGCTCCAACCAACCGGAGTCTTTGTGGTTTTGCAGGTACAGGCGGTGAAGGGCATTCTCGGAATTGTAACTCTCCCGCAGGACACATCAAAAAACCCCGAAACAGGAAGAATGCTCTATTCATGTATAGTAGCTGACGTTTATCATTTCTGGGGGGCTAGATTCGTGGCTTTATGGGAAAGGAAGGTGTTTTCTATCTTAGTAGTGATGAAGATCATGAAGTTTGAGATAAAATGCAGAATACAGGATATAAATAGCTCGAAGATTAGTGGTGGATAGATAGTCTATAATTGCTTTTATTTTTTGTATGATGTTTAGTACTCTTTGAAGGTTGAATTCGTACAATCATCCCCAAACATCCAGTCATGGTTGCGGACCACTATGGAGTTAGCCATCTCTATGACTGTGAATGGGATGTAACCTTCATAATCATGAACGCTTTACAAGTTCCTAAAACTTGTTGGCGACTCTTTTTCTCTAACTTCTTTTCCTTAGAGTGCCACCATACTTAAAAACATGACCCACGGTAAGGTGGAAATCGCGCTCCATCTGACGGCTTATCTTTCACCCGCATTCATTAATGACATATTTTTAATTTCGTGGCTTTTCCAATTTTTTAACTTTTAAGGCAATTTCATTTACTATATGACTGATTTCATTTACTTTTACTAACTTTTCATTTACTTTTTAGAAATGAAACCAAAAACTACTTTGTAAAATCAAAATTTTATGAAAATGCCATTAATGATACGGGAAGCATGTGGACCGTCCAATTAACATGATCTAGGGGTCTAGATTAGTTCCTAGTTCTTATTTTAGCATTGGTTCTCATTATAACTTGGTTAAATATGTGTGTGTGTGTGTACATATATATATATATATATATGTATATATATATATATATATATATATATATATATATATATATGTGTATATATATATATATATGTATGTATGTATGTATGTATGTATATACATATATATATATATGTATATATATATGTATATATATATGTATATATATATATATGTATATATATATATATATATGTATATATATATATATGTATATATATATATGTATATATATACATATATATATAGATATATATATATGTATATTATATATACATATATATATATATATATATATATATATATATATACATATATATGTATATACATATATATATATATACATAGAAATGGGATCATGTGAGAACACATCCCTTATGTGAGAACTCTAATCTATATGAGAAAAAATCTAGACCATTGATCAAAATTGATCCAACTTCTGAAAAACAGTATTAGTAATGGCTTTTTTGTGAATTTCACAAAAACTACACCTTTTTCTTCTTCCTCTTTTCCAAACGACTTCCTCCATGAAACTTTATCAGGTTTCACTCATTCTCTCTCTAAATTTTCCACTAAGAAACTCCACTAACATGAAGATCAAATCGGCGGGATTTATCATCAAATTTTTGTAAGCTCCTCAATTTCATCATCAAATTATTTTGTTATTCGAATTTTTTCATTGTATAAGTATGACGTTCAATTTTGCCTTTTTCGATTTTTTGTATGTTTTTTTAGCCTAATATTAAATTATTGACATACTTTTTTTTGTTAAATTATGGTTTTAATTGGTCTATATGGATGACAATCTAATAAATGATTGTGTTTGTTCGTTTACGATTTTGTATTCTTTTGAATTTTGTTTAATCATGCTTTTGTTTATAACCTGAATTTTGTGTTTGTGATTGAATTTTCGAGCGATATTTTTCTGAATATTCACTATTATATTGAGTTATTTAGTCTAATGTTGTTTATTATTGATATAATGTTGCTAAAATTTGATACAAAATTACATTATTCATGAATTGGGTTTTTTCGATTTTTTGCTTTAACCCTTGAAATCGCGAATTGCAAATGGATTCAACTAAAGCTCCGATCCAAACGATGAACTAAAATTTCCAGTTGTTACTTAAGAACGATGAATGTAAGTATTAATTTGTTTTAGTTTAAATTGCTCATTTTATTTAGTTTGCTCATTTGAATTTAGTTTGCTCATGTTTTATAGTTTGCTCATATGAATTTAGTTTTCTTAATTGATTATATCAGTTTATTATCTTAGTAATTTATGCATACTTTATTGTAGACATGTTCTTTTTGTGATGTGGGTGATTGATTGATTATGTTTTTGATATTGTACGCAAAGAAGCTGAGAATTGTGACTGCTTACAAGGTATTCGAACGAAATGCCTCACTGAATTTTCTTTTTTCAGTTTTCTTTCATTTTTGTTTTTTGTGTTTTTGTTCTCTGGTGTTGAATCTAAATGTGAATATTTCAGATCTCTAAATCTGAGTATAATTGCAAGAAATTGATTGAGGCTATAATTTTGTTGCTTAAGCTGCCATCTTTCTTGGTATTTAATATTTATGGTTGAAAGTTCTCTGGCTGAAATTCAAATGGCACAATTTGAACATGTTGTAGACTCTAAAGTTTTGATCTTTCTAACTGTTATTGATTGTTTTGTGTTGCAGTTACTGAGGAAGAAGTGGGTCTTTTATATGACTTATTCAATAAACTCAACAACTCTGTTGTCAAAGATGGTTTTATTAAAAAGGTATATAATATTCTTGATGATACTTAATCTATTTTATATGGTAACGTAGAAAATGAGGAGTTGTTATGCATTATGTTATTACTATATCTAAGTTATTATTGTTACTTTATTCTAATACAATTATCAATTACAATGATCAGGAGGAACTTCAACTTGCATTATTTAAGAATAGTATGAAGAGAAGCCTTTTTTCTGGACAGAGTATGTGTTTCCTTTTAGTTGTTAGATGCTGATGTCCCATATTTCATGAAAGAATTTCCAATCTAAGTATGTGTTCACTTGTTCTTTTTCCTTTGGTTTGCATAATACTAAAGTATTCTTTACCTTACATGACAAGTTGAGCAGTATTTATTAAGTATGAAGTATTACTTTAGGATTCAGAAAACGGGACAACCTTGTAGCAATTTGAACTGTGGGAATATCAGTGTTTGATCTGATTCATTCCTTGATTGCTAGGTGTCACGTTTCTTTTCGGCATTCAGATTGATATGGTGGATTTTATTACTATCTAGGGCCTTGTATACGCTGACAAATTACTGATTCACTACTGTTTTTGTTATATGCACTTCCTGGTTTGTTAATTTCGTTTTTTATTTTTAATTGTATTTTTTTGGGCAACTAACTATTTGCTCATTTGCTAAATGAGCAAAAAAGTGATTGTTCATTTCCCAAATGATCAAAGAAATGTTTGCTTATTTTCCAAATAAGTAACTAATTATTTGCTCATTTGACAAATGAGCAAATTAATGTTTGCTCATTTCACAAATGAGCAAAGAAATGCTTGCTGATTTAATGAATGATTAAAGAAATGTTTGCTCATTTGACAAATGAGCAACAAACTATTTGCTCATTTTACAAATGAGCATTGAATTTTTGCTCATTTCACAAATGATTCTTGCTCTTTGTCAAATTAATGCTCATTTGTGAGTGTGTTTAAATGTTTTAAATACGTTAGCCTACTAGCTCAAGGGTAGAGCATTGTGCAAATGCACAAAAGATGTGGGTTCGAATCCCACGTAGGTTCATTTATGTAATGTGGAAATACAAGTTTGTATGAGAGTTTAATTGTAACAAAGTTTATTTAGTTATAAATCATTTCAAACCATTTTTTTGCTCATATAATTTAGTACGAATTTGATTTATTTTTCTAATTAATTTTGTTTATAGAGATAACCTATGTAGGAATTGAACCTACATCCCCTATGCATTTGCATAGTGCTCTACCAATTGAGCTAATAGGTTTATCGTATGTTTTAAATCATTTTCTATGTTATAAATTTTTAATCAGCTCATTTGATAAATCAACAAAGAATTGTTTGCTCATTTGATAAAAAGAACAAAGAATTGTTGCTCATTTGATAAATGAGCAAAGAAATACTTGTTGATTTAATGAATAATTAAAGAAATGTTTGCTCATTTGACAAATGAGCAACTAAGTTTTTGCTCATTTTTTAAATTAGCAACTAAGTATTTGCTCATTTGACAAATGAGCAACTAACTATTTGCTCATTTGCTAAATGAGTAAAAAAATTGATTGCTCATTTCCCAAATGATCAAAAAATTGATGGCTCATTTCCCAAATGACCAAACAAAATGTTTGCTTATTTTACAAATGAGTAACTAAGGACTACAAAAATCGTCATCATGTAAGAGTTGGCGATGCAGAGGCAAGCAATTGCCTGGGCTCGTAAAACTACTGTCCGTCCACCCATGCTTCGACTTAATGTTAAAAATCGTTAGCACGACACTTAGTTTGGAGTATTTTTGGCACCTAGGATACAAAGGCTTTTTAGAAGCCTCCGATAATGACTCAAACACGTCACCTTCAAAACCACGCATCATCTCATCAACACCTTCATCCTCAACCTCATCCACATGATCATCCTCAAATCCCTCCTCAGCACCATCATCAACAATATGTTCATCATCATTATTCTTGTATTCCTCGTCCACACGAATGTCATTGCTTCTATCATCATGAACATCATTCCCAATAACATCCCCATTGTACTCTCCTTCTTCACCGTGCCAAATCCACACATGGTATTTAAGCCTAAACCCACGACAAACTACATGATCTCTAATGATATCAACACTATTGACCACCTTCACATTATTACAATCAACACAAGGACAATAGAGGCACTCGAAACCCATTCTACGCTGATAAGCTAAAGCCCTCTCGCAAAACTCTTGAAACCCATCAAAGAATTCCAATGTATCACGTCTACCATACATCCAGCCACGATCCTTTTCCATTAAGCAATTTGTCTCTAAACATGGCAACATATTACGAACAATAATGTATAATTGCTACATCTACTATATATATAAATAAAATTCAAACACACACCATGCATATAACTTTCATATACATACACAAATGAATATATGCTTCCAAAGGGTCCTTATCACTCCAACCTAACCCATCCTTGAACGTTTACTCTCACTAGTGAATGTATGTCAACTTTCCAATTTTAAGGAAAATCCGGCAGCATTTCCCCCCAGTTCTCCAAGTACACGACGTAGGTAATTACTTACCCACATATGTACCTAGAGAACATGGTGATCGAGGAAATGGTAAGCCAAGATGTTCCTTAAAATCGAAAAAAGGACATACATCCACCACCTAAGTGAGAGTAAACGTTCAAGAACAGTCCCAACCGGGGACTATTCAAGACTTTCTCCTAATGAGAAAGCCTTGAACAGGTATCTAGGCATATGATGATGCAATGCAAACATTTCATATATTTATTGTTGTATTTAGTTTGTCATGAAAAAACTTTTATTAAGACAATAAAGATATATATATATATATATATATATATATATATATATATATATATATATTAGAGAAGTTTATAATTCATACAATGGATAATGTATTCTTTTTAACTTCGCACTTGAGGTATATATGTAGTCTTCAAGCTTAAACTTGAACTTCAAATCACATATGAATCTATAAAAACGCAAAAAGAAAAAACAAAAGTTAGTAAGTATGAGAAATGGATAATAAGAAAAGATAGGGCCATATATATAATTAAGGAATAAGAGAGAAAATGGGGCAACAAACCACACCAACCACAAAAGGTAAAACACAAAAAGGACAAATATAAGCTACTACAAACAATTTCTATATTAATTAGGGCAACAAATAACCAAAAGTTGGGACATATTCCCCATAGGAACATCATCAATGGAGAACTTCAATACTCCTTAACACATAACAAGAATAAAACAAAACCAAACACCAGCCAAACAACCCACAACCAAGACAGCAGCTAAAGAAAACAGCAGGTTTAGCATAAAGGCAGTTCCGAGCCATCAGAAAAACAGCACTGCTCAAACCAGAGAAGCAGGCATAGCAGCAGCCTGCAGCAACCTTAGCCCACCCACAGCAGCCTGCAGCAACCTCAGCCCATCACCCACATCCAAACTAGCCAAAATCTCTCCGTAATAATACTATGAATTATTCAATCAAATAAAACTTTCCTTCAAACCATTTTACATTTAACAAAACATGCTATAAGCTTTTTACCTAAACTTCATTCACAAATACCACACACGCCAGCATTCTAAACTAATCATGCACTTTCGAGTATTGTCTGCCGGCATTTTCTACCAATCATGCACTTCTGAGTATTAATAATCACTGGTCAAGCAAATTTAGGCAAGCTTTGAAGAACGAAATTCAAATTACTTGAAATAAGAACTTACATTTCCTATACCCAAGTATATATGTGGATGGAGGGTCGTTGTGGAGGGGGGTCGTACGTGCGCTTGTAGTTGAGAAACCCTATATTTCAAGATACTAATTACAATTACTAAAATGCAAAACAAATCCTCAAAAAAAGGCATGAATGTGAAGGAATTCAATGGAGTAATTGAAACCTAGGTATACTAGGTAGCTTACCTCGAAGATGCTTCAATGGAAGGGCGGCAACTACGTATGGAATTGAAGATACTAGGTGGTGAGTATGGCGGCAACTGCGTCGGGTTTGAATTGAATAGCAAGAAGAGGGAAGCAATGAAGAGGGACGAAGAGAAGAGGGACGAAACAGAGAAGAGAAGAGGGAATTGAATGAAGAGACGTTGGAATTGAATGAAGCAGCTTTACCCGATTTTTTTTTTTAAATTGGCAACGGTTAACCGTCGCCAACACTTAACAATTTTTTTTTTTTTTAAATTGGCAACGGTCAACCGTTGCCAACTCTAACTATTTTTTTTTTTATAAAAAAAAATACTCAATCGTTGCCAACTCTGAAATTTAAAATGGCGCTCATTTAAGTTGGAAACGGTTTTCATGAACCGTTGCCATAGGGGGGTTGCCTATTTCTTTTTTTCTACTAGTGTTCCTATTTTTTATTTTTTATTTTATTTTATATTGCTCTAAAGTGTCAGATAAAACTATATCCTATAAGATATTGGATAAGTTTGAGCACATCCAACTCGAAAAAGGCTAAGAACACAGAAAGGAAGTATATATATATAAATTGTAATCACTGCTACAAAACCAAATTTTCCAGGTTATTGAGTTGTATGTTAATTGCATGATAATTTTCGATTTTTGAGGTTTGTTATGTTCTCATTGAATTGCATGTTTAATCGCATCAATCACTAGGTTATTGAATTGCATGTTAATTGCATGATAATTTTCGATTTTTGAGGTTTGTTCTGTTCTCATGGAACTCCATGTTTAATTGCATCAATTATTGATTTGATTGAATTTACTTATTTGAAGTTTTTTGAATTGAATCAATAATTTAGGTTTGATTAATTTGATAGACATTGAAAATTTTCAATCAAATTTAAAATGAGCAAATAAATTGAAAATGAGCAAACCTAATTAAAATGAGCAAATCCAAAAAAAAAAATGAGCAAATATAAAAATGAGCAAATGAGCAAAATAAGTTAATGATGGTGGTTGTGGTAGGATGCAGGGATAGGGCGGCAGCAGGGAAGTGAGAGTGAGACAGTTTGTGGTGGTGATAGTGATGGTGGTAGGGTGCAGGGGCAGGGACAGGGGCGGAGGAAGGAGAAAGAGTTTGGTGGTGGTGGTGATTATACTGTGTAAGGAAGAGGGTGAGAAATGGCATTCAACTCATTATCATAAGTTGCAGAAGTAGTGAAAAAGGTAGCTGTAGCTAATGCTAATGGTAATACTAGGATTAAAAGAGAGAGAGTGCCCATATTATTGTGAAGAAAAAAGAGTAGAGAGAAAGAAAATGGAGGGAAGTGATGGGAAGGCTTATGTAGCTGCTTCGTGGTAGGTGAAAGACTGCTAGGAGCGTTGCATTAGTGAAGCGAAGGCAGTCCTTTGGGGACTTCAGCTTGCTGCAGATATCGGCTACTGACAGGTTACAGTAGAAAGTGATTTCAGTTAAGGAGCATTCATGATTGATTGCATATACAACAGTATCCAAAATCAATTTCTCCTGCATCTGCCTAGTCTATAATTGACTGTTTATATAAAATTGGTCATTCGATGTAATTTGGTTCTATAGATATGCTTTATGCTTGATGTTGCTGCGATGTACTGTGTTATTTTGACAAGTAATATATCATATATAGGCTCATTTAGCAAATGAGCAAATAGTTAGTTGCTCATTTGTCAAATGAGCAAATAATTAGTTGCTCATTTG